AAGTTCCATTTCAGGTGGGCTAGCCAGAACCGGTTGGTGCTAAGATGGCTGCCAGAGTGACCGAACAACCGACATCACTACAATTCCAAGTGTCTGCTGAATGACACACCTCCCAATTGCCTTAACCGTGACTAGAAAGCAGGCCGCTCTCCTACTGTAACCCCAACTGTGACAACCTAAATGATAGGCCATTTCTCACCAAGGTCCCCAAACCCGGCAAGAGACAAATGGCCATCAATTCTTTGTCCTCTCCAACTGAGGGTTATGGGGACAGCTCCTGGAGGGAAGGGGAGAAGAAACTAGGACAAGGAGATCTGCCTCTCTCTGGTAGAGGGGCTCCAACATGCACACCGACCTGGGGATACCTGCCAGTTCCAGGAGAGTCCTCCCCCTTCTAAGAGAAATGGAAGGAACTCTACCAAAATAGACTGAACCACGTCTGCACTACAGGGAACATTCACAAAAATCCCAGAGCAGAGACAGAGCCGCCTCCCTGCCTCGCTCCCATTCTCCAGACCCAGAGCGCAGACCTGAACACCCTCTGTATGCCTGGGGGAAGTGGGAAACAAATCAGCCACACCTGGGGGGAAGAAAGCCGGTTTCCTATTTTAGGGACAATGAACATCAGGCAGACACAGGCAGAGCCAAGCATCCCAGCACCACAGGATCCGAGGACGACGGTTCTGCCCATTGCCAGAAGAGAGGGAACCAGATAACAGCATTTGTGAGAGAGACTGAGGCACGAGAGACACGAGTTCTGGGCCAGCCTGGTCTCAATGGTTAAACTCTATCTGAGAGAGAGAGAGAGAAAGAGAGAGAGAGAGGGAAGGAGGGAGGGAGGGAGGGAGGGAGGAAGGGGAAGGGAAAAAGAAAGGGAGGAAACAAATCATAAAATAGGCCCAGGGAGATAACTCAGTCCCCAGCACTCATGTAAAAACCAGTCAGGTAAACTCCAGATTCAGGGAAAAACCCTCCCTCAAAGAATAATGCAGGGAGCGACTGAGGAAGACGCTCAGCATTGACCTCTGGGCTCCAGACACTCCTACACACACACACACACACACACACACACACACACACACACACACACATACACACACACACATACACACACACACACATACACATACACACACATACACACACACACACATACACACACACACACATACACACACACACACACACACACACATACACACACACACATACACACACACACACATACACACACATACACACACACACACACATACACACACACACACACACACACACACACACACACACACACGCACACACACACACACACACACACACGAGGCATGTGCCCAAATATACATGACACACACATGCAGAATGGAGATAAACAGCATACAAAAAAAGGAAGGGCAGGGAAAGAGGAACCAAATAGTACCACTGAGGCACTAATGGATTATAGTTGTCAGAGAACCAAATTTTGCCAGTAACTCAGACCAGAAATACCGACAAAGGAAGCTTGAGAAGGCCAATGTAAACGGTGAAAAGCAGCCATGAAGGCAGCTGCGGCAAAGATGGGCAACACAAAACTTCCCTGAGAAGAAGGGAGCTACACCTGAAGACTGAAGTAACCCACTGCCCTCCAAAACTGTTCAAGACAAAGACACTGCCTCACTCAGACAGAGAACTCAAGGACCAGACAGGATTCTCCCTGGACTCATAGACTTTAAAAACAAACAAAGCTGGGCGGTGGTGGCGCACGCCTTTAATCCCCGCACTCGGGAGGCAGAGCCAGGCGGACCTCTGTGAGTTCGAGGCCAGCCTGGGCTATAGAGTGAGTGCCAGGACAGGCACCAAAGCTACACAGAGGAGCCTTATCTCAAAAAAATAAAACAAAAACAAAAAGGCTTTGGGGCTGGAACAGTGGTCGGGGCTAAGAGTACTTGTTGCTCTTGCAGGACAGGGGTTAGATTCCCAGCACCCACACGGTGGCCCACAATCATCTGCAACTCCAGTTCCAGGGGATCCAACACCCTTTTCTGGCCTCCACAGGCTCTTGCACACACATAATGCACATACATTCACACAGGCAAACATACACACATAAAATAAACCTTTAAATTAAGGTATAGCGGGGAGGGAGGTCTTGGGTTTTTACATGGAGTCAATTCTGACCACTCTCATCTTCCCTATAGAAACACTAAATATTAGAAGATAAACAGGAATGTCCGCACTACTCTCACAGAAAAGCTTGGTGGTGCGCAACTCTGATCCCAGCACTCAGGAAGTAAAGCAGGAAGATCAGGAGTTCAGGACTAGCCTTAGCTACATAGTGAATTTGAGGCCAGTATGGGTTACACGAGACCCTTTCTGGAGGAAAAAACAAAAACCTTTTCCTTGTTGAGCCTTGAAGCTCAGGCTTATAATCCCAACTACTTAGGAGACGGAGGCAGGAGGATTATGAATTCAAGGCAAGGCCATGGGCCACAAAGTTGAGTCCAAGTCCTACACAGTATGTTCAAGGCTGATTTACTCAACCTATTTCAAAAAAAAAAAATTTTTTTTTAAAGTGGGGATAGAATTTGGCAATAAATTGCTTGTCTAACAACTGTGAGGTCCTAGGTTCAATTCCTAGAAATTTAAAAAGAATTTTTTAAAAGTATTATCCCTTGCCAAGATATAATTAAGCTAACAGGTAGAGATTCCCAAGCATGAAAGAAATTCCCTTGCCAGGGAAGAAAATGACTTCACAGTGAAATGTAACCCCCCCCCCACAGAGAGAGAGAGAGAGAGAGAGAGAGAGAGAGAGAGAGAGAGAGAGAGAGTTGAGGGGGGTGCAAAGAAGGCAACAGAGTCCAGGGAGTAAGTAGGACAACAGAGGTGCTGGCCCTCAGCCTGGTGTAATGACCTGAGTTCAATCCCCAGAACATATGTAAAAACGTTGGTTGTTGGGGCTGCAGAGATACCTGTAGTTAAGGGCACTTGTTACTCTTACAGAGGACCAGGGTTCTATTCCCAGTACCCACATGGCAGCTCACAACCATGTATAACTACGGTTCCTGGGATCTGTGCCATCCTCGGGCCTCCACAGGCACCACATGGTACACATACATATGGGCAAAACACTCGTATACATAAAACAAAAATAAATCTTAAAAAAAAAAATTTTTGAAAGAAGTTGATTGTGGTGGGGCCCAACTGTAATGCCAGCACTCACACATCAGGAGAGAGGCTGAGATAGGAGAACCATTCAGTAGCTCATGGGCCAGCTAGCCTGGAGCACCCAATATGCAGACCCAGGAGACCCTGCCCCAAACGGAGGGAGAGGAAAATGCTGTCCTCTGACTTCCACAATGGCACACGTTCACATACACACAAAAATAATAAAATAAATTTTTAAAAAAGAGAGAATGCTTACAAAGGCAGAAACCAGGGGTAGAAGAAATCCTTAAAAAAGAAAAAACAGACAATCCAATAACGTAATTAGCATCATCAGGGTGTGGGTGAAAGGAGATGGGGGCAGGGTGGTAAGGCAAAAGTCCTCCTCTGAAATAGAGCAAGAGTCAATAGGTACTGTCTAAAGAGAAAACACGTAATTATAGATGACTCACAAACAATTAACTCTGCTGAGAGAAAATTAGCTCTTGCAAGTAACATATTTCTTTAAAACTTAATAATTCCCTTCAGTTTACTGCAGTTTCTCTTTCTTCTGCTACAGTCAAAGAGATGCGAAGCTTTCCCACAGGAGTATTTACATCTATTTTTCAATATCCATGTGTATATGAATATGCCTGGAAGGATATTAAGAATATTGGAAAAAGACAATGTATTCTTTTTTTGTTTGTGTGTTGGAGAAAGGGTCCTTCTACATAACCCTGGCTGTCCTGTAACTCACTATATACACAGGCTGGTTGTCAACTCACAGAGATTTGCCAACCTGTACCTCCCAAGGGCTGGGACTGAAAGCATGCACCACCGTGGCCCAGCACGAGGGTGGATTTTCTGAGGCCCTGAGTCGATTTGGTTTTGCTTTGTTCTGCTTCAGCTTATAGATCTACCCCAGGAAGTGATGTCGGAACGCAGTGATGTAAGAAAAGACAGGAGTATCACCAGGGAGCAAAGACTGACTTCCTCCTTCCTCCCTCGATTGCTCCCTTTGTAATGGTGTCTCACGCAGCCTAAGCAGCCCTCAATTGCTATGTAACTGAGGCTGACCTTGAACCCCTGATGCCCCTGCCTCCGCCTCCTGAGTGAGAGGCTTCTCAGAGCCACATGGATTTATGCAGTGCTGGGGATCAAACCTAGTGACGTGGGCATACATACTAAGCAAGCTACATCCCAGCCCAAACTTTCCAAGTATGGCATAAGATCTAGAACCCTACAGAAACACTTCACTATAATATCCTCCATATTTATGGTCCAACTAACAATGATACAATCACCTGTGTAAGTCTCAGTATCCAAAATTAGAAAGCTGGTAATTACTCTTTTTTCCATTTCCCTTTATGGAGCTGAGGGCCTCACATTCGCCAGGCAAATGCTCTACCCACCAACAGGCTACGACCTCAGCCCAAGCAGCAGCCTTAAAGTCCTATATTCAGTTAAATACTGTCTCTGGAGTTTACAGAGCTTTAAGGAGAACTATCTGTGATCCCAGCTGCTCAAGTGACCTGAGGCAGGAGGATCTTAAGTTCAAGCACCGCTTGGGCTACAGAGTAAGTTCAAAAACAGCCCAAGCAACTCAGCAGGACTCTGTCGGAAGACCCAGGTGAAGTGGTACATACCTGTAATTCCAAGCATTTGGGAGGCAGAGGCAGGAAGGTCAGGACTTTAGGGCCAGCCTTAATCATGATATATGGAAGCTAGCTTGGGCTACAGGAGATCCTTTCTCACCTCCACTTCCCCCAAACGGAACCCCCCCCCCAGAAAAAGGCTAAAAATGTCCTAGGATTGACCCCCCCACCCCCCACCCCCACAAAGAAGGAAAGGGAAAGGGGGGGGGTGACAGAGGCAGTGCACACCTGTAATCCCAGCTCTCAGCAAACTGAAGCAGGGGGATGACTTTGAATTCACCGGCAGCCTAGGCAACAGAGGGCGGTCCTGTGAAACAGAAGTAAAAAAGAGGAAAACTCTCCTGACTCCGTCCCTGGGTACTCACCGACTGAGCGTGGTCCAGAGCCGACACGCACCCAAGACAAGCTATCCTGGGCCTCCCCCCAAGTACAGCTAGGACACAGCACAGCTTGACCACACACAGCCTTACTCACCGGGACCAGGCACTCAATGGTCGTATTATTCCAGTCCCTCCCACCGAACCACTTTACAGTCCCTACTTCCTACTCCAGGCCCTGAGCCTCAAGCTATAGCATGCCAAAGCCCACCCAGGATGGGAGACTTCCACACAGCACAAGAGGGCCAGGAGCCTACTCCTTCACCCCAAGAAACTTCACACTGCTAAAAGGGGAAGGATGGAAGAACATTAAAAAAAAAAAAAAAAGTCAATGGTAACCCAGAAGCAGGGAACAAAAATCAGAACCAGTAGCCTGGGACTCACCACACAAACGTCTGCTGATCTCCCCTTGTGTGTGTCAGCACAGTAGAGAGGAGGTTATGAGGCTAGAGACCAGTGATCAGGGCCTGGGGCAGCCGGCATGGACTAGAACAGGAAGGCGTTTTTAGCCCCAAGCTGAGCCGGAATGAGTTTAATGATGGCCAAGCCCAGTGTTGGAGCCAGGAGGCGGGAGGGGAAAGCACACTTCAGAGCTCAGGGGCCACCAGAACTTCCAAAATTTCTTCAGGCAGGGGAGACATGGAAGGGGCCCAGGGGAGCAGTCAGCGCTTCCCGCCAAAGCCTGGGCAAAAGTTGCTCCTATTTCCATCACCTGTCCATCACCACTTCCCAGACACCCGATTGCAAAAGTGTGGCCTGTTGTTCATGACTGTTTGCCAGACCACAGTGTCCTACATGTGGCCTAAGTAAGGAACGTGGTGCTCACTCACATCTAACACTTCACCTGCTTAAGCAAAGGCTTCCCAGCTTGTTATTCAGGGTCAAATAAAAAGCAAGGCCAAGTAACTAAATCGTAAACGCTTTTTCTCACAAGCATCTCAATGACCTCCTCTTCCGGGGGTCACAGCCCACTCTTAGCTCCCCAACTATTTTGGATACTACATTTCTTTGTCTTTCAACAAGTCTGTTTAACTAGATTGTCATTCATTAAAGGCAAGGAGGGTGGTCTAGCATCCCTCTGTCAACATGAGTCTGGCATGGTGCTGGGTACACACAGGCTAGACGCAGAGAATTTCTGATCAAGGATGAGAAGTTTAACCTCCTGCTTTACCAATATCTACAAGGCCCCTACAGCCCAACACCCCTTTCTACAGACATTCTATGTCCCTAGATGTCCCCACAGATGCGTGAAGTCTGCTGTCAGGTCCATCTATTGTTCCTTCCTCTAAACCTTTCTCTTATCGTAAACACACACACACACACACACACACACACACACACACACACACACACACACCAGCACAAATGTGCAAGCACGTTTGTTTTGTCTTTTATTTTTCAGAATAAACCATGTAACTCTAGCAGGCCTGGGACTTCATGCAGCCCAGGCTAGCCTTGAACTCAAGGCAATCCTCCTGTCTCATCCTAAGTGCTGAGATTATGGGTAGGCAACGTCACATTGGGTACTTCTCTTACGTTAAATAAACTGAAAAGCTAGTTTATACTTATCAAACCTAAAACAGTCCCAGCCCAGCACACACCAGCTCTCAAAGAGAAGAAAAAAAAGGAGTTCAAGCCTGACTTCAGCTACATAGCAATTCCACGTTACATGAGATTGTCTCAATAAATAAAGACATAAAAAGCAAGGACAACAAAAACCTCTCTTAGCCTGAGAGTTCATTCATTCAAGAAATGGTCACTTTCTGTCCATGACCAAGAATAACGTGAGTCCCTGGGATGTACCTTCCCTCACACAACAGGGAAGGTAAGTCCCAGCCAAGAAACTCAGCAGTATGGCAAAGCCAAGGATAATGGGCAGCTCAAGGGTTACCTGGCCATACTGAGCCCACAGAGATCCCACACAGAATGTTAAACAGCCTGGAGACTCCTCGGAAGGGCTGAAGAAATGACTCTGAGCTGAGCTCCCAGGGCCTACTCCCAAGATCGTGTTGCTGAACTATGTATGCTACAAGGGGCTGCTACTCGGGCATCTGGTAGCTATGGCATTAAGACATCCCTGCCAGGGAACCATTTCAGCGAAACAGATGTCCTCGAGTCGATCCTAGAGGGAAAAACAGGCCCAGCCTCTTCCCACAAAACTGTTACATGTGTGCTGAGCACATCTAACTGGCAGAGTCTGAGTCACACGGGGAATTTTAGTAGCACAGGATCTCTGAGTAGAGTCTGGTTTTGTTTTCTTGTGCAACGCTGAGGCCCTAACCTAGCGCCTCGTGCATGTTAGCCTCCACCAGTGAACTACACTCCCAGGCCATGAATGTGCATTTTTTTTGAAGATTTTTATTTTATGTGTATTTTACATGTTTGCACAAACGTTTGTCTGTGTGCCACGCGTGTGTAGTGTGGTGTGCGGTGTGTACAGCGCGCAGTGCCCGCTGAGGCCAAATGAGGGCACCCGATCCTCTGGGACTGGAGTCGCAGATTGGCTGCGAGCCACCATGGACCTGCTGTGAATGGAGCCCAGGCCCTCTGAATGAACAGCTGGTGCTGTTAACCACTGCGGCCTCTCTCCAGCCCCAGGAACGTGTATTTTTGATCCTCTACCCTTAGGGAACAAGTTAATGTGTGCCCCACCCCTGACAGATAATGGAAAATGTAACAGAAGAGCAGCCTGATGTCAGAGGCCAGGAGGGCTCCCCTAAAGGAAAGCCCAGAACCCCAGAACATGTAAAAGTAAGCGGGGGGGGGGGGGGGGGGGGGAGGGAATAGAACAGTCTATGAAGCTGTGGCCATCCTCAGGGACTCAGTGAAGACAGAGCATCTAGAACCTGAAGTCCATGGTGGCTAGACACACAAAGGTCACACAGGGGAGAGGATTACAGGCTAGAAATGTGGGCCTTGAAGGACTCAAGGGAACATCTGGTTCGGCGGTGGTGGGAATCAAACTCAGAGTCTCCAGCATGCTACGCAAGTGTTCTGCCATTGAGCTGTTTTCTTTGTTTGCTTGTTTATTTGCAGTCTCACACTGTAGTCCAGGTTGGCTGGGAACTCACTATGTAGCCTTGGCTAGCCTCGAACTCCTGGCAACCCTCCTGCCTCAACCATCAAAGAGCTGGGGACACGAGCCTAAGCTACTAGGCCTGGCATTCACATGTTTTTAATACAGGTCCGCCTGCCTGGCTCCATCGTGGAGAGTGGGCAGGAGGCAGGCAGAAGAGGAGCATGAGATTAAACAATGGGCTACCATAGACGTCCAGGCGGAAACACACCCAGCTTGGCCTACAGGGCAAAAGGTCTATGTGTTGGCTTCGGACTTAACAGCAACCCAGGCTATTGTGCAGACCTCCGAATTCTGCAAGCAGACTCAGAAAAGAGACCACCCCGAAATTCAGGCTAAGACAAGTCGGCTCAGCCGTCCTGCTGCAACAGGTAGGCAATTTAAGAAATGTGCACTTCAGCTCTGCAGTAAAACACACCCCGAGGGCCTTTGGCGGCGCTGCTTGGTAGATGGCCAAGACTACCTGCCCCAGCACCCCTATCCCCAAGTCCCTCCAATCTTACAAGCCAGTTCAAGCCCATGTCCTCCTCAAAGGCTCTAGCTGGCCAGTCTCCACAGCTGAGACACCCTGGCATCCCATCATTAGCTGAGGGAAGTGTGTTTTTTTTAAGTGTATAATCTTCAACTGAAAACTTGCTGGAAGGGAAATTCTCAGCACCTCTAGGTAAACCGGAAATTCAGTTGGCCCAACAGTGTGAGTTTTCCTTGGGGCTCTGGCAATGTTCCAGGACACTAAAGCCTAAGGCTTGCCACCCCACTTATATGAAAACCAAAGGGGCAATAAAAAGGACCACATGGTCCTTTCCACCTCGCACCCAACCTTCCTGACTGGTGACTGCTTGCTGCACACCACCTGGACACCCTGTGCCCATGGGAGAGAGGGCTACGGAAGGTCGTAAGGAAAAATACTTATTTCCCAATTGGGGAAGAAGGCGGCAGAAAGAGCCAGAAATGACATTCACCAATCCTAAATCTTCTCCCACTTACCCAATCTCTTGCATAGCATACTCTCTGGCCAAGGTCATAACCAGCCAGCGAGTCATTGATTACTAAGATGTAAGGCTTTCTCCCACATCCTCTGGCTTCCTCACTGCATGACCACAAACCAGAGCATCTTGCTTCCTAAGATCCTAGGCACCAAACAGAAACAACCCAGTCTACTGCCCCTCGCTCTAGCCACTTGGACTCTCCTTCCTCACTTCCCTGCCTGGCTTTGCCTTCTAAGCCTCCCCCCCACCCCCCTACCCCTACCCCCCACCCCGCACTCCCCTGTTTGATCGTCAGGATTCTCTCCCTTTAGGATCCAGCCTGCCTTCCCCCTTTATCTGCTATTAGCTATTATTCTTTCCCGGGCTCTGGTCTCCAAGTAGAATGTCACACACAGATACACACACACACACACACACACACACACACACACACACACACACACCACCCACTTCACCCCTGCACCTTCCAGGCCCACTCCTCTGGACTCAGAAGCCTGATGAGGTGTGAGAAAGCTACATGTACGTGCTCACCGTACCCACAAGATGAGGAGGAATGAGGGGTCCTGCAGAATCATGTCACTACTCCATTCCGTCCTCCCCAGCACTGCCTCAGCCCAGCCAGACCCATCCTCACCTTCCTCTTTGTCTCAATGTCATGGCGCCTAGAACGACAGGCTTATATTTCAGGTTAACTGCCTTGGCTGTTTCTTAACAGTCCAGGAGGTTGGCAGGACCTTCACTGAGTACTTGCAATATAAAGTATATAAAGGAACATGCTTCTATGCTCTGGCATAACCGCACCCTCCCTAGGCATGGCAGAAAGTTGAGACTTCACCGTGGAAGCACTGGGTAAGGTCACGAGGGA